ACAGATAAGACGTTAAATCCGAGGTCAGACTCACTTAATGGTGAGTATAGTCTGAAACCCAGTGCTTGTAATCCTTAGATAACTGGTCCCGGAGGCATTTACACCATTCATTGTTGTACGTCTTTCATTTAATTTAGTATTTTTTTTTCCAGTAGAGACTCAAATATAAAAGTATGACAAGCATCTCCTCCCACCATTTATGGTTTTTCAGAATCAAAAGTCCTGAAAAGGCTACAGTCATAGGAGGCCTGGGTCTCAGGGTTGAGAACTGGTCCCAGGAGGAACACAGGGCCACTGCCACAGCAGCAGGAAAGAAAAGAGTGGGAAAAGCAAGTCTTACTGCCACTTTGGCCTCAGCCCTTGCTGTAGTGTAGGCTCATTTGCTATTGAAAAAGTGTCAGAGACAGTCAACTTTGCATTACCTAAGACACCTAAAAGCCAAGAAAGGGGACTGTCATCTGCTAGAACCCTGGTCTCCCCTTCTACTGGGGTCTTAGCAGCAGAGCCCACCAGCCTCCAGTCCCTGAGTCAGGACTCATGGCCTGCATAGCTGCTCCGTTTTTGTTGCATGATTGCAGAGTGAATAAATGATAGGGTAGAATTTAGATACCTGTTACGAAATCAAACTAAATCTGTCAGCCGAACCTCTTCTATTTCCTCTCTCTCTCATCTTTCCTCATCTTGCCCTACCTGCTCTCCTCCCTGTCCATGCGACAATGGAAATATGTGCTGCCTTGTATGGTCGGTCTGTAGCCCAGCTCCTCTCCTTACTTACTGGCATTGTTCCTTGAGATTAGCTAAGGCCAAAGTTATTACATTTCTATTTCTCTTGAAGGACACTGTAAATTGTTTGAGCTTCTTCTACTTGGGCTGTATTAAACAAAGCTAAAAGACCTGTGGTTCCTTCCTTGCTCATTCTGTATTTTATCTGAATTACAATTGTGAAACCAGAGTGGCCAAAAGATGGGGGTCAGAGGAAGTTTACACATTCATATTTGAGCTGAACTGACAAAGAAAAAAGTGTGGAATAAAACAGAACCCTCAAACACAGAAGAATAATGAGTGATGGAGACTAATAAGGGCATAAATTAGTTTCAAAATCATCCCAGTGAGGTTATCACTAAATGAGGAATCTGCTAATAGACTCCATAGAATAGAAAGTGGCAACAAATATGCTTCTAAGTTTGGAGTGAAATAATATTCTCTAGATTATAAGAAGTTTAAACGGTTGATTTCCATTTTTAAAATTATATGTAATAAATATAAATATACTATAATAATATATAACAGAACATCCGATGTCTACACAGTATTCTCAAAACCCTTGGAATGGAAAGAGTTCTTCAATTTAGTTCAGAGATTAAACCAAGTACATACATGTACAGCAAAGTTTTTAAAAACCAAATTCAATTCCGTTTGGGGAAGCTCTTTGTTTCTTCCGCCTTTTGCTTTTCTTAGCCTGTGTATGGATGTGCGTGGAGGCGCTGTGGAGGTGCGCTAGTACCTTCTGCACAGGCAGCTCAGAAGTCCATATCAGCTGTCTTCTTCTGTCTCTTTTCCCCCTTGTGTTTTTTGAGACCAGCTTTCTCAGGGAAGCTGGAGCTCACCCTATTGGCTAGACTGATTGTCCAGCAGCCTCGAGGTCAGCCTACCTCTGCTCCAGCACTGGGGTTATGGATGCATGCTTCCACAGCCAGTGGAGATCCAGGCATCCTTGTAGTTACCCAGCAACACTCCACCCTCTGAGCCAGTCTCCCCAGTCCTGGAACAAGCTGGAATTTGGGGGATTTGGGGAAGTTGCATCACACTGCATCCACACAAAAAGAGAATCCTGTTTTCCAATGGTAGACCACCTCACAAGTCTACGCCAGAACTTCCTTTCCGTAGCACATTAATTCCCGATAGCAACTTTTGTGAGAATTCTCTAGTAGATGAGGCTTTGCACCCCATGTATTTTCCCAAGCCTGTTGACCCAGACTTCTGGCTCCCATCATATCTCAGGATGAACGATGTTCACCGAGTGAGGGAAATCACAGCTTCATAAGCAAGCTCTCCTAGGGTAACTATTTGAAAGACCAGAGACATCTCAGACTGAGATTAGTCATGGAATGTGACAAAGCCACATTTCAGAGAAACACTGTGCTGCTAGCTTTTAGTCTGTAAAGTGCAAGCACCTCATCAGCTCCTCCTGGTCTCCTGGGCTGCTGTTGAGCCAAGAGTCTCCTGAGCCAAGCTTTCTCGCAAGATTTCCTGTACTTCCTGTCTCTGTGTGAGCCATAAATACCCGAGGACGACCTTTCTTGTGGTATTCTTGCACTTCTGCTCTGGGATGAAGATAATCCCATATTGGGGGGAAAATTTTAAAATTGTGAAAATGTTTTTGACATACAGACCTTCAAATGAAGTGGGCTCCCCTATAGAGACAAAAGTTGGAAATGATGGCTGTTTTGGCCCTAACTCATCTCCTAGAGGAAACATTCCTAACCAGTGCTCCAACATTTTGTAACCTCTCTGGAATATTTTTACGAGGAAATGTGTGGAATAGTATAAGAGATGAGGTAAAAATGTGTATTCTTGGCTTTTAAGAAAAAAGTCATCTTGAGGAAACTTACAAGAAGAGCTGTGTTCTTAACGCATCTGTGATATATCATATCGTATATTTGTTCTCTTTGTTCTTCACCCCTTTGTTTCAAGGGTCAGGATATCCTGATGCTAAGCACTCTTGCAAAATAACCGAACAAAAATAAAAATAGTCAAACACTTAGGAAACCCTTCAGTTGCTAAGTCCGGGATGTTTGTGACCGAGGAGTGAGTTTAAGACATTATTCAGGAAATATGGTGTGCTACAACCGCCCAGATGTGCTTGTTAAGTAGAAGCCTCTGATGCCAGCGATCCTTGATGCTTGAGTCTATTGAAAGAGTTGTCACCCTGCAGACAACTGATTGCTATATGAACTCCTTTATCTCAACAGGGGGACTTAAAGAAAGACATCTTTCAGATAAAGTAAATCACTGATTTTTGCCCATTGGGTTGTATAAATATGTAGTTATAGAAAAGCTGCAATATTTCACTAATGAAATTCTCAAAAAAAAAAAAAACCACTGTCTCAATTTTATATATATATATATATATATATGGTTTGGGACCTTTTTTCATTTACTGGGAAAGAAAACAGGTTTGCAGTATACTTTTTCATCCATAAGAGAAGACAGGAAGAAAAAAAATCACTTAATTCATTATGGAAAGCCAGAGTTATTAACCATAGTTTCAGAAGAATACTGACAACAAAATTACAGTGAGCTCTACCGCTTTCAACTTCAAACACAGAAAGAAGTGAGAGCAGGGTGATGAAAATAAAACAGTCTGCAATGGTCTTTCTCCTCTCCCCAAAATCTCCTCTCTTGCTCCCCTAAAGAAACATCAAATGATTGTGTGATCAACCAGCCGTAGGAATGTAGAGCGGGAGCAACAGCTTGTACATCAGCAAAAATAAAAGTGCCAAGCAAAACAAAGGCCTTTGCAGTGCGGAGACACTGAGCTCCAAGGAACACGGGATTGTTACAATGTCTTTCAAGAAAATAGGGGTTTTCTATGTGAATGTGCAAGTTCAAATTGCTCCTACAAACCCAATTTGCTGGCAAAAACGCCAAACATAATACCACCCCACCTTCCTTTCGGTCCAGGGCCTTTCACATAAGCGACAGGGGGCATCTTTCTCTCCGGGTTGGCTCTGACTTCCAGGGTCAGCTCCTTCATCTCCGAGCCTCGGGGAAACAAGAGGCCTGGCCCACAGTTGTCCTCAATTCACCACTCTGGGGTGGGAACACAGTAGTCAGTGGCCCAGATATTAAGCCCACAGTGTGGTCGCTCTGAAAAGAATCATCCACGCTTTCTTTTTCAGGCCATTTATGACCCCCTACCAGCACCCTTTAAAATGATGACTACCCTTTGAAAATGGGTTTTTAACCACCCTGTGCCACGTGTCCAGACTAAACAGAAGCCCTGTGCATATGCATAAGGACTTTGACGCTTCCCTAATCCACTTCTTTCCAGTTAGCTTTGGAATGTGATTCAATGTTATTTCCTTCCAGCTTGAAGGGCAGCTGAGGTTACAAACGGATTTGACTAATAGACCAAAAACCCGGTTAGTTTGCAGAGAACTTTGACAGCAAAGGGGGTGGGCCGTGGAAGAAGGAAGGAGAGTGTTTGAACTGTGGTCCTTAGGATCAAGCCCTCCCCTCCATCCTGTGTGGGCACAGTGAGTGGACAAGGCAGGCCCCCCGGCTTGGCCCTCCGGGGAGAAGCAGCTGCAGATGAGCTCTGGCAGTGCCCAGCTTCCCGTTGGGATCCGCAGGACCGGAGTCTGGGAAGCTTCTAGGCTCCCTGTGCCGCAGGCTGACCCCTCACCTGACACTTCCAGAAAACTAGGCTGTGAGGGGGGCCCCCTCAGAGAGCCACGCAAAGCGGAGCCCCGAGTCTTTGCTTGAAGTCTTTCATGGCTAAGCCACTTGACAAACTTGACCAGCAGCAAAAGAGCTCATAGAAAACAAACAAAACGGGAGGAAGAAGAGGGAAGGCGAAGGCTGCAGCCTCGATGGCTTTTCTTTTTCCCTCCCCGCTGTCGTTCCAGCTGTAGCCTGGGATTAATTAAGTGCTGTGAATTCGGTGCCTGAGAGAGAAGGGGGAAAATGCATTGTATCTCTAAGGAAGGAAGGAGTCCAGAGACGGTTTCTCAGCAGTGAGGGACCCTAGGCGCTGGCTGCATCGGGTCTTGTCGCCAGTGTTTTTGTGCAGGGGCTGGGAAAGCCAGCTGTGCCAGGCTGGAGGAGGCTCGTCTTTCCAAGGCTGGAGAGGATTTCACGCGGGTTTGCCTGCAGCTGCCCGGGAAGAAATTCCCCTCTGGTGGCGGCGGCAGCAGCAGCAGCAGCGGCAGCAGCAGCGGCGGCGGCAGCAGCAGCAGCAGCAGCAGCAGCAGCAGCAGCAGCAGCAGCAGCGGCAGCCCTACCTCCTCTTCTGGGGACCAGGGCAGAATGCCTGTGCTAGAGCGGTACTTCCACTCTGCAGAACTAGGCAGGAGGTGGCCGGCCACGGAAGGTGTGCTGTCCTCCTCCCTCGGCAGCAGGCCGGGGTGCCAGCAGGGGCCGCTACCCTGGGACTTGCCAGAGATGATGAGGATGGTAAAGCTCGTTTGGAAGTCGAAAAGTGAGCTACAGGCAACCAAACCGAGAGGCATTCTGGAAAATGAAGATGCTTTCCACAGCTTCCCAGGTAAACTGACTGTGGGGTGCAGAAGGGAACCTGGCCAGGTCCCCTTACTCGGGGTACCGTTCTTGAGTCAAAGGATGAAGGCAAGCTGTGCAGACAGGGTTCAAGGGCTGCCTGTGGATGCAGGAGGACTGTTGCATGGAAATCAACAAACCTAGCATAGGGGTCAGCATGCTGCAGGCTTGTCCTGCAGAATCCACAGGGTCAAGCCTTCTGAGTTTCAGACCCCAAGAGGAGAGTGTGAAACTGTATTCCCTTTAATCTCCACCCTACCCCTAACATTTCTTGTCAATAGTTAGAAATGTCTCCAACAGACTATGTTCTTTGAGTTGTTTTTTGAGCTTCTTGATGTAAAGTAAACACGTACCCTCCAATTTCTAACTATGCAACTTAGGTAGTGCGTGCATCATGCCTTCAGTACTGAGCGTGCTCTGCCTGCTTTTTCAGTCCTTGTAAGTTAATAAACTACCCTGCCTCAGTTTCCTCTTTGGCAAGTGGTGAACAATACTCCTACAGAGATGAAGAAAGCTCAGGTCACCCACAAGTATGAAGATGAGGCAGGAGGGCTTTTTTTTTTTTTCCATGTCATAAGAATGTGCCCTTTGGGATGGGACAGTCAGCTGGCTCTTGCCTGAGTGTCTAACGGGGTGGGGGTGGGAGTGGAGCAAAGATGCTTTGGGACCCTGTGAACTACAAATGCCACAACTGACGGCTGGGGGCTCCCTTCCTGTGCTGAGTCTGTTGGTGAAAGTTTGGAAAGCAGTGGGTTCATTTGAGAAGAAAGCATCTGAGTGTATTTATGCCTTTTAAGTCCTGGCCATCCCCATGCAGTGGAACCCTGATGTGCCGTCAGCAATGAGATGGGGTAGATGGAAAAGATAGACCAGAAATTACCTCTCTTTTTCTCATGGAAATGGGCTGAGAATTAAAAAAAAAAAAAAAAAAAAAAAAAAAAGCCCTGGTTTGGTTTTAAACAATTCATGGCAGAAAGGTTTGTTGTTTGTTTTACATTAAGTTGCCTAGTAATTTATAAAGAATATTATTAAAAAGTAATCTTCTGGGGGTGTTGAAAAGAAGAAAAAAAAAACAATGTTGTTCTTTAGTAAACAATGAGTATTTGAGCACTTAGAAAAGAGAAGCAAAGCAATCAGCCTGAGGTTTATGTGGCATCTGCAAGATGGAAGCCAGTGGAAATGGGTCTTGGTCAGAAGAAATGAGGTAATGGGAAAGTCATTCATATTTCATGTGTTCAGGGCAAGGAAAACAGAAAAAGCCACCTAGGCAGAAAACACAAGTCCAGCACTCCAACTGCCCTTTCCCTTGGTTTGTGTCACTAACTGAGATGATTAAAATTCATACTTCCTTCCATAAAACTTTCTCCCCCATCCCTTGCCACTGGTGTCTGTAGGGAAAGGTGCACATTAGTCTTTCCATGTCACATGTGTGGTGCCTGACCCCAGAAGCACCACCACCCTGAGCCAGCAGATCTGGGTAACTCTCAACCCTTCCCATTGGTTCCTTCCTTGCCTCTGGCCATGGGAAGTCCAGACACCTGAAAAGAAAGAAGCACCCATCCATATCCTTGTCGTCTTGCCTGCAATGAGGCAGGCTCTGTTTGAAGGCCTCCTCCTGGGATGTCCATTTGTCTGTCTCATCTTTCTCAGGGAAAGAAAAAGTCCCATGGTTTCTGATGTGAGCACAGAACGTGCTCACCCATTAACACAGGAACAAGATGATGAAACTGGAGATGAGTATCTTTGCCTTCTAAGCTGTCTCCTGCCTCATTCTGGCCCTTAGCTCGTCTCTGGCCACCCCCTGTGTTTTCTCTGCAAGCCACAGGTGATCTTCAAAGACATCCTTTCCACCATTAGACCACAGCAGTAATAGCTTGGGTTGTTTTCAGTTATATGTGGGATAGGGTTAGGGGAGTTATGGTAGAGAGCACCAAAGCAAAGACTACAGGAATCTCTCTCTCCCCTTGCCCTACTCTTACCTCACAATCCTAAGTCAATTTAAACTTGACAATATTAAGCAGCTTTCTGTGCATCAAGTGGTGCCTGCCTCCAATCCTTGCCCTGTGCTTAGAATGTCTGTCTTTGGCTCAGCCAACTGAGGATGATCTATTCAAACTGCAAAATCTAGTTCAAGCCACCCTGCCCCATACCATCTTCCCAGAGAGCAACTTTCCTGAGATGCATGGCTGTCCGAGGAGTAAGCTCAAACTAGGCATTGCCTAAGATATTGCTCACTCTAGAAACGTGTTTCCAAAGTAATAACAATAACAGAATAACTGGAATCAGACTGCCTCTGTAATTTGTTGAGTTTTATCTATCATTTAATCCCAGTAACACTCGTATCTTTTTGTTTCCTTTGTTAAAGCAAAAGATCATCTAATTAGCTAGTCTCTGTGTTTAGAAATGAGTTGACTAGTTAAGAAAAAGCAACATTTGTTCCCTCAGAGCAGAATCTCAACAGTGAAACTGAGTCACAAAACTTCTACAGGATCAGAATACATGGTAGGTGTTTAGACTCACACTTAAGGTAGGATGTGGTTTCTGGAATTACCTGTTGGTGTGGCAAACGTGAGAACTCATGATTCAAATAAACTTCAGCCAAAAAAAAAAAAAAAAAAAAGAATAGCTTTTGAATTTAATTTAGGTTAAAGGTTATTTACTGGTACATGTTGTTTCTGTGTCAATGTGTGTGTTTACCAAAAATATTTGCCTGTAAAGACAAGCCCACAGAATATTACAGGCATGCCAATTAACATAGGTAATTATGGGACTGTTGACTCTTGACTTTGTTAAGAATCCTCTGCATTTTAAATAGTACAAGCATGTCAGTTTCCAAATGTTTAAATACATTTAAAATTCAAAACCAAAACCAACCAAAACAAAAACCTCAAACCAAAAAATAATAGTATCATTTAAAATGTCGGGATTGTGTCTTCTATACATTTTTCTGCTTGTTGGGGGAGGGGAGGCTTTAGCTTTGGGTAGAAGCTCAGTCACTGGGAAGGTGTGGGAAGGTCCTCCCTGGTCCTCAGAGCTTGCTGCAGTGCCTGGAGAGCAGCCACCAAAGATGGGACTGGGGCTAGAAGGTGGGTAACAAGTCGCTGGTTTACCAAACACTAGAAGTACAAATATTGCTGCAGTCTTGATTCTAGTAATGAGCCAATGTAAGTTCAGATAGGACCTGTTCTTACCTGAATAAATAATTTGACTTTGAGATTCCACCAAAAGAACTGCAAACTCTGTGTCTACCTATCTTTCCTTTCGGTGTTTCCAATGTGAATTTTTTATTAAATTTTAGTTATTTATTAAGTCTGTTCTCATTTTAATAGCCTCTAGCTGCAGAAAATATATGAAAGCACAGAACTCATTTGAAAGAGAGAGCACACAACCCATTTTCCTTCAGCTCTTACTTGTCATGTACTTCAAGGAGAATACAAATATCAGAAATGTGCTTTATACTCAGCTCTGAATATCAAATGTCAGACAAGAAAATCTCCAAAAAGATTACAATTCCATAAGTCTACAATTAAATTGACACCTAAAGTAGCATTTAAAAATGTCTTAAGTAGCAGACATGACATAAATTTATGCTTAAAGAGTGAACACTCCGATCTTTAGAATTCAAGAAGTAGTTATTGGATGCTTAGTGTGGACTGTGATAGACAACAGTGGGTGAGTGATGAAGCAAAGGTTTAAGGAGAGAGGAAGGGCAGCACATTCATGAATCTGAGCTCTGTCTGCAGCTTCAGCAGGCAAACAAGCGCTTGCTAGTTTAAACGTCTCTGTCCACTTAAAATATTGACTGGAAAACTGGTGAGACAAAACACACTTGTAAAAATTCATGTGCACTTCCAAACACTCTTTGGGGCTTCATGATTTCATTCAAAACAGAACAAACCGCTTTGAGAAAAGAATCAATTAGCCTCAACGCTGATATTAATTCATAACATTTTTCTGAGGCTACTGTCTGTGGAAGTTAGCCTATTAACCTTCATTCACTCCATAGCTTTAGAGAATGACGTGATTGGTGATGTCATCCCTCCTTTCGGTGGGCCTTAAAAGCAAATCAAAACCAAAAGACAAGCCAGGTATTCTGGATCATGCCATGACTCTAGCATCTGAAGGCTGAGACAGGAGAATTGCTGAGAGTTTAGGGACATCCTGGGCCACATGATAAAACTCAGGCCAACCTGAGTTACAGAATGAGATCCTTCCTCACAATAAATAAATAAATAAATAAATAAATAAATAAATAAATAAATAAATAAATGTAAATAAAAACAAAAGAGGAGGAGGAGAAAACAAGCAAACAAAACTGAACATGTGCCTCCCATAAATTCGTCTTTTCTCAAGGACAGACATCCAAATGGAAGACAGTTTCCCCAGCTCCCTAATTCCAGTTGGCTCCAAGTCCTTGAGGGAGGCTTAAGAGATGACTGAAAGTACAGAGCTGAGATTGAAGCCTGTTTAAACCCTGCACGCACACCGATGGGCACGTTAACCGCATGTTGCCTCAGTTTCTCTTCTAGAAAAGGGAATAGTATTCGTAGAGCCTTCATATTAGGTTATTGAGCAGATTAAAAAAACTGATACTACTAAATCAGTCTAGAAAGACCCTAAACACTACTTCATTCTTGGGAAAGGGTGACTATCACATATTCACGCTGACATTCTGGCCCTGATGCCACCTCACACATGCTCTTTCCTCCACTCGGTCACACGGCCTTAGTCTGGCCTCATGTTGCTCTATCTGGAATCTTGCTGTTACCTCCAACAGCAATACATTCCCCACATCTCTTCTCTCTGCTCTGTGATTCAGATCACCAGTGATAAAATCATAATTTCCTCACCCCTCTTCAAAATCCTTCAGTGATGTGCCTGTTGTCTGCAAAGAAAATTCTAGAACCTTTCACCCTGCAGAGAGCTCTCCGTTCTCTGGAACAACCTGACTGTCCCTGATGGCTTCTGAGCTCTCCTCCTAGTCAAGGC